ATGATTCAATATCTTTGCTAGTTATTGGTCTGTTCAAATTTTCTATTTCTTTCCGTTTCAGTTTTGGTAGTTTGTAAGTTTCTAGGAATTTATCCATTTCTTCCAGATTGCCAAGTGTGTTTTTTTCATTATATTCTCTTATTATCATTTACATTTCTGTGGTGTTGGTTATGATCTCTCTTCTCATTCATGATTTATTTATTTGAGTACTTTCTCTTTTCCTTTTGGTAAGTCTGGCTAGGAGTATATCAATTTCATTGATTCTTTCAAAGAACAAGCTCCTCGTCTCATTGATCTATACTGCTGTTTTTTTGTTTGTTTCTGTATTGTTTTTCTGCTCTAATCTTTATTATTTCCCTTCTTCTGGCTTTAAGCTTTATATGCTGTTCCTTTTCTAGCTCCTTTGAGTATAAGGTTATGTTGTGTATTTGAGACTTTTCCTGCTTCTTGAGAAAGGCCTGTATTCCTATGTACTTTACCCTTATGACCACTTTTGCCACATCCCAAAGATTTTGGACTATTGTGTTCTCGTTTTCACTTGTTTCCAGGTATTTTTAAATTTCTTCTTTAATTTCCTGGTTGACCCACTCATTCTTTAGTAGCATGTTGTTCCATGTAGCATGTACTTCCATGTATTTGTGGTCTTTCCAAATTATTTTCTTGTGGTTGACTTCAAGTTTTATAGCATTGTGGTCAGAAAATAATCATGGTATGATCTCAGTCTTTTATTTATTTATTTTTTAAGGTTGTATTTATTTGACAGAGAGAGAGAGATCACAAGTAGGCAGAGAGGCAGGCAGAGAGAGTGGGGGAAGCAGGCTCCCTGCTGAGCAGAAAGCCCGATGTGGGGCTCAATCCCAGGACCCTGAGATCATGACCTGAGCTGAAGGCAGAGGCTTAACCCACTGAGCCACCCAGATGCACCTGATCTCAATCTTTTTGTACTTCTTAAGGCCTGATTTGTGACACGTATGTGATCTATTCTGGAGAATATCCCACGTGCACTTGAAAAGAATGTATATGCTGCTGCTTTAGGATGGAATGAAGTCCATCTGGTCCAGTGTGTCATTCGAAGCCATTGTTTCCTTATTGATTTTCTGCTTAGATGATCTGTCCACTGCTGTAAGTGGGGTGTTAAAGTCCCCTGTTATTATTGTATTATTACAATGAGTTCCTTTATGTTTGTTATTGTTTTATGTATTGGTGGGGTGTTCTCAAGTTGGGGACATAAATGTTTAAAATTGTTAGATTTTCCTGTTGGATGAACCCCTTTGTTATGATATAGTGCCCTTCCTCATTTCTTATTACAGTCTTTGCTTTAAAATCTAGTTTGTCTTACATAAGAACGGCTGCTCTGGCTTTCTTTTGATGTGCATTAGCATGATAAATGGTTCTCCATCCTCTCACTTTCAATCTACAGGTGTCTTTAGGTCTAAAATGAGTCTCTTGTAGACAGCATATAGATTGGTCTTGGTTTTTTATCCATTCCAAAACCCTGTGTCTTTTTTTTTTTTTTAAGATTATATTGGGGTACCTGGGTGGCTCAGTGGGTTAAAGCCTCTGCCTTCAGCTCAGGTCATGATCCCAGGGTCCTGGGATCAAGCTCCTCTCTGCTTAGCAGGGAACCTGCTTCCCCCGTCTCTCTCTGCCTGCCTCTCTGCCTACTTGTGACCTCTGTCTGTCAAATAAATAAATAATATTAAAAATAATTTTTTTTTATTTATTTGACACAGAGAGAGAGATGGTAAGAGAGGGAACACAAGCAGAGGGAGTGGGAGAGGGAGAAACAGTCCTCCTGCTGAGCTGGGAGCCCCATGTGGGGCTCAATCCCAGAACCTTGGAATCTTGACTTGAGCAGAAGGCAGATGCTTAACGACCAAGCTACCCGGGTGCCCCACCCTATGTCTTTTTATTGGAGCAGTCCATTTACTTTCAGAGTGATTATTGAAAGTTAGGAATTTAGTACCATTGTGTTACCTGTAAAGTTGTTGTTTCTGGTGATGTTCTCTGTTTCTTTCTAGTCTGTTGCTTTTGGTCCCCACCCTCCCCACTACCTCAAAGAGTGCCCTTTAATATTTCTTGCAGGGCTGGTTTAGTGGTCACAGATTCCTTTAATTTTTGTTTGTCTGAGAAACTCTATCTCTCCTTCTTTTCTGAATGACAGCCTTGCTGGATAGAGTATTCTTAGCTGCATATTTTTCCCATTCAGAACGTTGAATATGTCATGGCACTCTTTTATGTCCTGCCAAGTGTGGAGAGAGCTGTAGCTAACTTCATTTGTTTACCCTTGTAAGTTAGAGACTTCTTTTCTCTTGATGGTTTTAGGATTTTTTTTCCTTATTTCTATATTTTGCAAGTTTTACGGTATGTCTTGGTGTTGGCCTGCTTTTGTTGATTTTGATGGGAATTCTCTGTGCCTCCTGGATTTATATGTCCATTTTCTTCCCCAGATTAGGGAAGTTTTTGGCTATAATTTGCTCAAATAAAACTTCTGCCCCCTTTTCTCTCTCTTCTTCTATGAGTCCTGTGATACAAATGTTACTATGCTTTATAGAATCATTGAGTTCCCTAAGTCTACATTTGTGATCCAATATTTATCGTTCCCTCTTCTTTTCAGCTTTATTATTTTCCATAATTTTATCTTTTATATCACTTATTCATTCCTCTGCTTTTTCCATCCTTGTGGTCATTACATCCAGTCAGTTTCTCATCTCAGTTGTAGCATTTTTTTTTTTTTAATTTTGGCCTAACTAGTTTTTAGGTCTTTTATCTCTGCAGTAAGGGACTCCCTGGTGTCTTCTGTGCTTTTCACAAGGCCAGCTACTATCCTTATGATTGTTGTTTTAAATTGTGGATCAGGCATATTACTTATATCTGTTTTAATTAGATCGCTGACCATGACTGGCCATGTTCTTTCTTTTGAGATGAATTCCTCCATCTTGGCATTTTGTCTAGGTCTCTGTCTTCTTCTGTGTGTCAGGAAAGCCTGTTATGTTTCCTGTTCCTGAGAGTAATAGCTTTATGGAGAAGAAATCGTATAGTGTCCAGTGCCTGGTGCTTCAGGAAGTGTCTGGTGTGTGCTGCATGCACTCTGCTGCTGTATTTTGGCTGTTCTATCCTTCAGGCCAGTTGTCTGCAGAGGCTCTCCTTGCATGCCGTGGGCAGTGTTTGGACCTTGTCAGAGTGTGGCAAGTTTTAACTAGGCATGCTCCGGTCTGCTCGTTAAAAGAGGCCAGATCCTATTTCTTCCAGAGCTGGAGCTTTGCAATGCTCAGTGGTCAGGAGACTTGGTGGCTGTGGGAGTTTCTCCTAGTCTTCCTGGGGACTAGCCTACTGCTCTGGCTCGCAAGCGCACTTGCCCTAGTAAAGAAGCACCTGCAGAGTGCAGAGGAGCAGGGCTTGGTGTAGGCAGTTTAGGCTGTCACTGTTGGTGCTGTGCTGCTTACCAAGGTTAGTTTATGCGTAGGGGTGGGAAAGGGAAATTGTGCCAGTCCTCTCCCCCCGCCCCAGGAGAGGGGAATTTGTGCCTGCAGCTGTCTGGAAAGCCCTCTCAGAAAAGCCTACAGTCTCTCCTCCTGTGTCCCAGGTGTCCCTCACATCCCTGCCTTCATCCTGTTGTGTCCGGTCCATCTGCCCACATGGCTGCACGGTGCACCTGTCTGTAATCAGCGATGCCAGCTGAGTTTTAAAACTCCAAACTTTAGGGATCTGGTGTGACACAGACCTATGTTGGCCTCTGGGGGAGGGTCTTGCCACACTGTTGCTGGTGCTGGTTTGTCCCTGGAGGGCGGTCGCATGAATGCTCAGGAGCTTGGAGTTTAGAGTAAAGTGCAGCAAAAAGCCAGGATCCAGATTAGCTGCGCTCGGCAGGTGTCTGTGCCCCTATGCTAATGAACAGGACAGTGTAATGGTGCCTGCCAGCTCTTTTGTCCCCTGCAGGGCAATGTCAGATCTCCCAGATTCACTCCAAGAGGGGCAGCCATCTCTTCCAGTGCATCCCAGGGGAATCTCAGATCATGTTTGCTTTCAGGCCTCTACCCTCCTCCACAGGAGTACCGCAGTACCTGCTGGGTTCCATGCTGTCCATGGCGAGGACTTCTAAACCTTCAGTCTTTGGGCCCTGCTAGTTGTAAAAACTCAAAATAATCAGCTCTCTCATTTTCCCAGTCGGTGGTTTTGGGGAAGTGTGTTCCTTGTGCAGTTCCCTGTGTGCTCTCTCTCACCTCTCTCTGTGACTAGGGCTCTCTCCCCGCTGCAGCACCCATGATCTGTTTCTCCCCCAGATTATGTCTCCACACTTCTTACCCTCCACAGTGTGTCCTCTTCTCTCCCTGTAGTATGCAGTTTGTTCTGTCAGTTCTCAGATTGATTTCTTGGGTGTTTAGAATGATTTGATATTTATCTAGCTATGTTCAAGGGAGGAGACAAACCTGGGGTCCTTCTACTACTCTGCCATTTTAACTCACTGGCTGACTCTATGATTGTAGACGAAATAATTGCATTTTTTTCTGCTTCGTTTTCCCCCTAACTATAATTGGAGGATAGTGACTTCTCCTGCACGTTGGGCTATGGAAGACAAAAAGTTTTATAGAATTTGAAGTGTTTTAGAAATGTTCTATATGGGGCACTTTTCTATAGTACTACCTTCTCCAAAATAGTGATAAATATGAGTCTGTCCTAAGTCCAACCCAAAGCTATTTATGACGGGAAGTTCTGGAAGGACTTTGGTAAAATACTATACTTGTAACCTGGCTTAAATTATGATCTTAGGGACAGTGTGACATAGCAAAGCACACACGATATGTGCATACTGTATAAAGGGTGTTTTCTATTTCCTATTTCTTGTTTTCATTTCCCTTTTCTGGTAGAGAAAAGATAGAACTTATAAGCCAAATGTTTATCTTCACTATTACCTTTAAACTCAACCTTCCACATTTGGGGAATTATTTTCAGAAGAACAAATAAACTAAGGTTTTTCTTGCTTTCTTTCTTTCTCGCAGTAAAATGGCCCAACAATGTGAACAGTATGAACAATAATAGAAGGAAGAGCTGGAGTTGTGAACAGTTAACCTGGACAACTGATCTTAAATTTCAAATTACTGCCTTTATTTTCTGATTAAAAAGTAGAAGGCAAATAGTGGGTCCTATACCTGAAGCTCTTGATCCTAGAGTGTTCTATTTTTCATTTCTTAGCCACCAATCAACTTTAAAACATGAAGGAAAAATCCAGAAAATAATCATAAAGCATTCCTTGGAGAAGTTTCCAAACATGAATAAAATATAACAAGCCCCCTTCATTGAGCTCAGGTACTGTACTTAGCACTTTACTGCATTATCTCACTCATTTCTAACAATGGCCCAATGAGGAAGGAGTCTTTAATCTCTATTTTGTGAAGAGGAAACTGTGTCCTAGATACAGTAATTAGGAAGTTATGCTAGGTTACACAGCTTCTGGAAACAGGATGGACCATTTTAAGTAATGAAATTTAAAGCAATTATTTTCTAAATTACCTAAATAGTGTACATTCTTTATAAAAGGAAAGAAGATGTAAGAAATAAAATTTTTTAAAAATCACCAATAACTCTGTGTGTGTGTGTGTGTGTGTGTGTGTGTGTGTGTGTGTATGTAGATAAAGAATAAGTGATAGTGTTGGTTAACCCTGGAGAAGGAAAGTGAGAAGATACCAGAAAGGAAGGGATGGTCAAAAACGTGGTTACATTTATCTAGAATGTTTCGACTTTTTGCACAGGGACTGTTTTCATATATCAGTTGTGCAAATTTAATTTATTTAAAAGCCCTGAAGGAATGAGGACACATTCCAGAAAAAGTTAATCATCTTTGACTAACCTCATCACCCCTTTTCTGGTGACCCTCTCTTCATCACAGTCTCTACTCAAGAATGTTTATTTTCAAAGATAGTGTGGACATGAGTTACTTGATATAGGGAAGATTGTAGGATTGTTGATAATGAAGCATAAGGCAGTATACTATGGCAGTTACAGGCACAGACTCAATCCAAACTGCCTGTGTTTGGGTCCTGGCTTCTGTATTGTATGATCTCTCTGTGCTCCAGTTTCCTCATTTATAAATTTGGGATAATAATACCTATCTAACTGGGTTGTCTTGAGTCCTAAATGAGTTATTATCTGTACAGCACTTAGTGCCTGGCACATTGTAAGAGGCAGGTAAGTGTTACTACAATCATTATTGTTATCCTGACACTCAGAAAAAACTATGATAAACTGTTGTATATCCATCCAGACTTTTTATCTGTATGTGTGTACATATACACATATAGACATGTACATACACATGCATTCATGTATGCGTGAATTTTTTATGAAAATTGGATCATACCATTTCTATTTATTGTAACCTTTTTTTGTATTCAACACTATAGATTATAAACATCTTTCCATGCCATGGAATAATGAAAGTTTAAAACAAATCTAAGGTGTATTTGGTCTTAACGAGCTGTGATAGCATGGATTCTTTTGATCGAATGTGTGGACATATGATAAGACAGAAATTTCTTGGCACTATATTGAAAATCTAGAGTGCTTATAGATATTGACACAGCTTATTTTAAATGGTTGAGTGGGCATTGATATATCTTACCTGAGAGTATTATTATTTGTCTTATTTGTTAAGCAGTGATATTATATTCAGCCTTCGTAAATGTTTATCTTCAGAGTCAATATGCCAGAGAGAATTTCAAAGGGTCACTGTGGGAAGGACACTTGGAAGATAGTACTTTGTAGGAAGAAAAATGATGTCTAAAAAATACATTGGTTATTAAGAAAAGTATTTCTACTGCTTCTTTCTGGCTTTTCAGGAGATGTTTCACAAAGCGGAAGAATTCTTACCCAAGCGGACGGATAGTGAGATGGACGAGATGGACACGTCGGACACCCAGTGGGGCTGGTTTTACCTGGCGGAGTGTGGGAAGTGGCATATGTTTCAGGTACCTCCTTTCTAGAACCTACCAGATGGGTTTCCGGTCCACTTAGCGCCACCTTGCTGCTGCACAGTGTGCCAGTGCAGACCCTGAAGGACATCCAGCCTTAAGGACATCAGACAGCTTGACTAAAAGAAAAATGAGAAATCCTTTTCCTTTTCGTTTCCCCAGGTTTTTGTCAGTCACGTATTTAGAAGAAGCAGTGCGCGATCACTGCAGGTACAGAGGGCCAGTGTGACTGAGTTGGGTAGTGTCATTACAGCCGAGCAACTCCGAGTTGCATTTGGTGGGAAAGAAGGGGAAGAGAGCAAGCCCATGTTAAGCATCTTGTGTCTGCCGGGTATTATGTTAGACGCCACAGGTACCTTTTCTCCTTTAGCCTCCCAGCAGCTCCAAAGCCCTGTCTCACAGTCAAAGAGACTGAATTGAAACTCAGAAAAGGTCACAGAATCCATCCTGAGTCACATGCAGCTAGTGAATCTGAATCCAAACTCAAAAGCTTGTGGTCCTCTTTTACTTCCAAGCCTACTTAAAGATTTCATTTGAGCCAGTGAGGAAGTTGTAATTATTATAATAATTTGCAAAAGTTGTATCAACTTGGGAAGAGGAATTCGAAGCAGTTGCTGGAGTGTCTTTGCTGGAAATCCTGACACTGTTTTGCACACGCTGGCTTAGCTGTGATTCTCCCTGTGTGTGGGGACTAGAGCAGGTGATCAGTCACTTCCCCTTGTCGCTCCATTCTCTGTCTCTGTGACCACAGAACCACCTCTGTGGCCAAGCCATTGATGTGAACAGCTGGTAAATGAAACTTTCTGGTTTGTCTTAAAGCCGGATACCAACATTCAGTGTTCAGTTAGCAGTGAAGATATCGAAAAAAGCTTCAAAACAAACCCTTGTGGCTCCATTTCTTTTACTACTTCCAAATTCAGCTACAAGATAGACTTTGCAGGTATGTTTTTTTCCCTAATAGTTGTGTGTTTTTAGTATATTGATATGGTAAAATCTACAGTTCTGAAGATGAGATTTAGTTGATATATTTGTAAGCAGTGAAGTAAATCCTTTTTGTCATACACAGAAATCTCTCTATAAAAATTCAAGATTTAAAATCTTGAGCAACATGACCTTTTATAAAGGAGTATTTGAATGCTTATCGATACTAATGTATGTGGAGATTGTTGTATATTTTGAATTTATGTAACACTTCTAAGGAACACGAAACACTTTTTAGCTGTTTTTTTCATCATCAGCCTTTTGAAATAGCTGGGAATCTTTTTATTTTAAGGATCAATCTGAGAGGTTAGTAACACTAGCTGGTGATGGTTTGAAGACAAAAGTTCAGCTGAAGGACAGAAAACTATTTCTTTAATGGACATTGCCTTCTATCATTTTCTGATTTCATTGTCTCTTTCACAGAATAGCTAGCTAATCTGGAAATCAGCCCCACTTTGGATTTCATCCATGATATATGGGCGTGGTTTTAGGTATCCCATGAGAAACCTGTAGAATTCAACTCTTTCATTTTCAAGCTGGTAGTTTCAGCTGTTGGTTGCATAGAGACATAGAACACCTGGATGGGGAGGATTTTTTTTTTTTTTTAAGATTTTATTTTTAAAGTAATTTCTACACCCAATGTTGGGCTCGAACTCCAAGGTCAAGGGGTCATATGCTCTACTGACTGAACCAGCCAGGCACCCCAGGGAGGCTTTCTTAATAAAGCGTATTTTGGCTGCTGCATGGCTCAGTCCTCTAGCTGTTGCATCCCAGCTTCTATGAGCAGTATCGTTATGACACAGTTAGTAGTGTGTTGTGGTGCAGTAGGATGGCGAAGCCTTCGGAAATCTCCTTGGAGGAGCTAAGACCCAGAAATGGTGAAAGGGTTTTGTCCAGTAAGAGGTTGATGCAACCAAATCACTGATGATTATTGTCTCCCCCGAAGCTTGTTTGATTAGCAAGAGTTACATTTTAATATATTCTTACTGCTGACTAGCCATCACTTTTTTTTATGACATTAGGCAAATAAATTGCCTTTAAGGGACCCTGATATTTGTCTTTTGGCCTCAGTTGAGACAGAAGGCGTCTGTTAGACCTTTTAGACATTTTATGTACAAGTGCCTGTTGGAAGCAATACGGAGACACCATGATATGCACACACCAGGCTGCATGACAAGGATAAACTTTATCAAAGCATTCGCTAGATAATTCAACAAGCCACATCTTTCTGAAAGAGTAACTTTTAGTAAATGAGATTGTAGGGAGAGCTTTCTCCCAAACAATGCTGTTTATTAAAAAAAAAAGTCTTTATCAAAGAATAAGAGTCACATATAATCATTCAATTTCACCAACCCTCATATAATGATACTACATCAAAGTTACAGGTACCAGCATTTAACGTGTGCTATTTGTAAAATTAGCCCCAGCCATTCAGCCACAAGCCAACTCAGGTGCTCTAGATAAAAATGGTAAAACAGAAACTCAGAGTGAGCTGCTTTAAGATGCCACCACAGGCTTTGCTCCCTGTGCTGAGATGATCTTGCTTTTTCCTGCATAGTGGTGATGCCATTGTGGGCAGAACCTAAGAGAATCTAGAAAGGGAAGAACAGACTTCATACCTTATAGCCTTTGCCTGGATGGGCGAGCCTCTTTATTTTGGAATGAAATGATGCTAGTTAGATAAGACAGAGGGACTAGCATCTCACATTAAGCCTCAATTCTTAGCTTAGTGGGAACAAAGAAATGGACCTGGTGCTAGTGCCATAGCTAAAGCACAGAAGAGAGAGGGAAATGACATCTTCAGTTAGTTAATTAGACTTTTATCACTAGAATCTCTAACAAGTATATATTGCATCTAGCGGGTTTTCTATTTTTTGGTTTGGGTATACAATTTAGAGAGAAGGCAAGAAATGTACCAGTTTTTGGAATTCTGTGAATTGTGTAAGTTCTGTGGTGGTAACAGATCTTTTTACCGTTCCCCAAATTTTTGGAGAAATCAAAGTACACTTTCTCCTAATAAACCAACCAAAAGATTTGTTTCTGTAATTTCATTCTCTTCCGATGACTCTTCGTTTTCCAAAGTTTGGAATTCTGGCACTGTAGCCTCTGCTTATGGACAGTGGGATACAGAAAGGAGTGGGCCCTGCCTACTGAGCTGCAGGAGCCCAACACCCTGTGTGTGAGCGCAGATCATGCCATGAAGCCCCACTCCCTGAGTAGCACTTTTTTTTTTAAAGAGATTTTATTTATTCATCTGACAGAGAGAGGGAGCACAAGCAGGGGGAGGGGCAGAGGGAGAGGAAGAAGCAGACTCCCCGTTGAGCAGGGAGCCTAATGTGGGGCTCGATCCCAGGACCCTGGGACCATGGCCTGAGCCGAAGGCAGATGCTTAACTGACTGAGCCACCCAGGCACCTCCTGAATAGCACTTTTATGTCGTGGTAAATAGATATGGTGAGATGTCCTTGATAGACTGTGCCTGTCAGCTCCTCCCCAAGCCCCAAGGTTCCCCATCGCCAGGTGGTGTGGCTACACATCTTCGTGACTGTTTACAGCACAATATGTTCCTACCACTTACCTAATATCTTTGTCTTTGTATACAGAAATGAAGCAAATGAATCTCGTCACTGGAAAACAGCGCTTAATAAAAAGAGCCCCCTTTTCTATCAGTGCTTTCAGGTATTGTAAAGAGAATAGGGGTAGAAAGAGTGGGCTTTTCTCCTCTTTCTTAGTATTTGACAGAGGAACAAATAGTCTGAAAATGTCTGGGTAGGTTATTTCATGATCTTGATACTGCTCTTTCTGTTACTGAAATTCACAATGGTTGATGAACTAACAATGTGATTATTTTCTGTCCTTTTTTCCTTCCCTGTGTCCTCTTCATTTCCTTGTATATTTTGACATGTTTTCATTTCTTTAGGACAGTTACGTAATGCCACATGGTCTCCGCTACAAGTCCTTGAAATAGCTTACTGAAGTAGGCTTGAATTAACTTGCAAATACTCTGACAGAACCATCCAGTCATGCGGGCCATAAATCCTAGGCAGTTGCCTATTTTGTCTCTACCTCCACTTATCCCCACTGGGGGACTCCTGGGAGTGATTTCCAATCTGTCGTGACCAAAGGAGGCCTGCAGGAGGGGCCAGAGCAGCAGGCTAACAGCACGGCTCTCTGCTCCCGGGGCTGGTTGCACATTTTCCTTTTTTCTCTCACTGGCTGCACACAGCCTGAAAAGAGAGGCAGAGATGCCAGAAGAGAATGTGTGTTTGTTATTCATGTGAATGAAAGTGACGGGGAAAATCTTAGAGCATACCTCCTATTTTCTGCCCAAGTGAATATTGATATCCCTGCTGTTGAAAGAATATAGAATCAATCAGAAAAAAAAAAATGCTAGCGTGTGAATTAGAGGGGATACATACTCCTTTGCTCTTCCCAGGGAGATATTCTAAAAGCATTAGAGTAAGGAAAGAAATGCTTTAAGTTTTTATCCGTTTGTTTCTTAAGACCTTTGGCTTATATTTTAGCATCATGATTTAAATGTTATTTAGGTACTTATAGAATGAATGCCCTAGTACTTCTATGGAATATGGAGAATATATTATTTTCTTACCAGCCACATCATATCTTTATTCTTGAGTATGAGGAATATAATAAAGAAATTACTTAGCTTCCGAGAGTGTGTAATCTGGGTGAAAAATGAGATATAATCATGGAAAATGTTAGTGAAATTGTACGTTATTATTTCTGGTGTACTTTGGTGGGGAGAAGCAGCACACTATGGGGTCGAGCACTTTGTTCTGTCACGGACTATAGAAGCCAGGAGAGGGAGAGAATAACCAGAATGGAAGATAATAAGCCAGGTAATGATAGAGGGGGAACAGTTAGGTAGGCTACAGTAGAGCAAGGAGTAAAGCAAGTGACCATTGATACAGATATATTCATTTGTGGCAGGAATATATCAAGCATGTGTTACATGCAAGGGGAGTGGTTTATATTTCCTACTGGCAAGGAAATTACAATTAATTAAGGCTATGGGGTACATAAAAATTAGGAAAAAAAACTTTTCCAAGGCTAGAAGATATTTCAGGGAAAGTAAAAAACAAAACAAAACAAAAACCCCTGAAAAACAACCAGAAGAACAAAACAAAAACAAAAACAAAACACAAACACTGGGAAAAGTACTGACGCTCTTACCTTCAAGGGCTCATCTCTGTAATATCTGAATCTCTGAGTAGAAGACCTACAACCCATTAGAAACCTATGACCTCACTCATTATAAGAGATCTACAAATTATACCAGACTATTTATTTTATTTTATTTTTAAAGATTTTATTTTATTAGAGAGTGAGAGAGAGAGCACGAGAGGGGAGAAGGTCAGAGGGAGAAGCAGACTCCCCATGGAGCTGGGAGCCCAATGTGGGAGCTGATCCTGGAACTCCAGGATCATGGCCTGAGCCAAAGGCAGTCGCTTAACCAACTGAGCCACCGAGGCGCCCCGATACCAGACTATTTTTTTTTTACTATCAAACTGTCAGAAATTCAAAAGTTTGATAACACCCCTTTTTGGAGAGGTTGTTGGGAAACAGGAATTCTCTCCATTTCTGGTGGTGATAGTAATGAATCCAACGTTTAAGGAGGGCATTGGGCAGTATCTGTCAGAATCCTAAATAAATATGTTCTCTGACCCAGGAATCCCATTTCAAAGATGTTATCCTACAGATGCATTAGTGGATGTGTAAAATGGCAAACGGATAACCTTGTTTTTTGCAGCATTCCTAACAGTAGCAAAAAGTCAAAGACAAGCTAAATACCATCAACAAGGGACCCTTTACAGAAGCGATGGTTTATCTGTACCATAGAATTCTGTGCACCTGCAAAATCAATTGCACTCATTCATTTAACCACCCTGTATGGAGTGTTTCCCCTGGGCCAGGTTCTGTGGTAGGGACGGGGCGTGAGGATACTCTCTACCTACTGATACAGAAGGATCTTTAAGAACATAAAAAGTGGGGAAAAAATGGCTACAAGGAACCTGTTTTTGCTATCATTTGTGTAAAAATTTGGTTTGTGATAACCTAAAGAAGTCTGAAAGAATAATACCCCGAAGTCTAAAAAAACCTGATTAATTATAGCTAGGGCAAGAGGTGACAATCAGAAGAAACTGTTCACTGTCTGCTTCTTCATACATACTCATTTTTAAAACGTATGATTATAGGATCTTTTAAAAAATTACAGTGAGTTTTAAAAAGGAAGCTAAAGACAAGCTTGACATTTATGACTTTCTTCCAGTAATCTCCTGTCCCCAGGAGATGAGTATGTTCTTTTCAGCCTTTTGCCATGAAGCTCTCCAACTTACCATCTTTTTCTGTGTTCCCATCCAGGGCTTCAGCGTGGGGGGCAGGTTTTCAGAGTTTCACTGGTCACACTAGGTGAATTACCAGAGGCTGTGTGAGGGGAAGAGAGGGCAGTCAACAGAGAAGAGTTTAGGTTTGAGTTAGAGCTTGAAGGACATTGAACATATGGCTGAAGAGTTTGGACTTTATTTGATAGGTAATATCAATCTGTTAAAGAGGGGGTTTTTTGAATCAAAGATTTGGTTTTCTTCTTGGAAATGCCTTTATTTAAAATATTCCTTATATTTTAAAGAATTTCTGGCAATTTTAGAAAAACATGACAGAATTAAACAACCATTTTTGAAATTTTGATGTTATTCAAGATTGGCTGTTTTCCATCAAAGTTGTCAATTCAGCACCCAAAACGCAGCACACAGGAGACATTGAGTAAATATTTGAAAATAAAGAACCAAGGGCTTTAGTTAATTGCATTTGTCACAATATCCCAAACATGAAAATTAAGCTTTGGAGAAAAGGTGGAATTAAATCAACCATCATTATCACCAGCGTCTAATACTGTGTTGTGTCTTTTGCCATTTAAAGTTACATCTGTGAAAATGAGGCCATCCCCATGCCCCCACACTGGGAGAATGTGAACACCGACGTGCCCTATCAGGTAAGAGTGGGGCTGGCCAGCGGCCCTGTGTAGGAGCAGAAGGGGCCCCTGTAAAACTATGCAAACTTCTTTTTTCAGCTGGTTCCTTTGCACAGTCAAACACACGAGTATAACGAGGTTGCCAGTCTCTTTGGGAAAACAATGGACCGCGGCAGAATTAAAAGAATCCAGAGAATTCAAAACCTGGACTTGTGGGAGTTCTTCTGCAGGTGAGGTGGCATCTGGCCCTGGCCCTCTCTTTGGCCTCTGAGGCTTCTAGAGTTTTAGAGAAGGCGAAGCGCCAGTGTTGACACGCATTGTCTTTTGGTGGTGGTTGTGCCAACTGTGTGTGTGTCTCAGCGCTCCATGTCACCACGCTCCCTGGGGGACAGGGTGAGGGCTGGTGACAGAGAGCCACCCTGGAGGTCAAGGCCAGGCTCACTTGGAGCACTCTGGCTTTCAAGGGGCAGAGCTCTGCGTCGGGCTGTAGTCAGAAACGGGAGGCAGTTGAGGAAACTGTTCAGGCTTGTTCGCGTGGCTTTGGTTGGCACAGCCCTGTATGTGGACTTAGAAGTCTCTGGAAACATTGTTTATGAATTTTGTTGAATTTTCGGAAAAAGCGATTCCACCATCTTGACTGTAGTCATTTGCTTGCTTTGTTTTGGAGGACATTGTGAAATACACCTTCAAATGTCCTGCTAGGCCCAGTATATGCAATAGATTAAAATCTCAGTTGACTACTTAATTAAGATTGGAACCACCCGTCAGATTGCTTAGTATGTGTTTACCCTAAAAATAAAGCCCATTAGAGAAAACTTAAAGGTGTTGTCCAAATTAACCTGCTGAGCTATATTTTTTAATAATAAATACTATTTAAAACAATGGCTTCCCGAAATATTTTTATTAAATTTATGATACATAATTTCTAATTTTTTAAAATATAGCAGACCTTTTTAAAAAATGTATTTATCTTAGAGACAGAAATCACATGTCCACACATGCCCACAATTGTGGGGGAGGGGCAGAGGGAGAGAATCTTCAAGCAGACTCCCAGCTGAACGCAGAGCCACACGTGGGGCTCTGTCTTAGGACCCATGAGATCATGACCTGAGCCTAAATCACGAGTAGGTCACTAAGCTGACTGAGCTACCCAGGCGCCCCTAAATATGAGCAGACTTTTAATATTTACTCCAGAAAATTTCAAATAATAGAGTCTAATATAATGAATGTAATATATAATATAATGTATCCATCATCCTGACTTAACCTGTTAGGATTTACTGCACATAATCTTTCTCCTTTATTTCTATTATTGTTGTTGCTAAACTATTTCAGAGCAAATCTCAGACCTTAACTCATTTCATTCCCATATACTTGAAAATTAGGCCTAACTTTTGTTTGGTAATGATGCGTGGAGTCCTTTCATGCTTCTGATAAGTAATAATACAGCCCGAGTATATTCCAGTTTTATTGCCATAACAGTTTATGGTAATACAAGGAGTTTTCAGTGTGTATTCTTTACAGTCTTGAGTCTTTGAACCAAGCCAACTTTCATTTCTGACAATAATGAGTTTAACTGAGTGTAGAAGGTTTTATTGGGTTCTTGTTGGATGATCCTTTTATCAAGGAAGATGGAGGCTTCTCTCCCCCTTTAATTTTATCCTCTCATTGAATAAAGTGAGATTTTTCTGAAATGGTCTGATGAAAACTTAATTCATTGTTCTTAATCAGGCCTCTGAAATAGAGTTCAATAATAATTGAACTCATAATTTGAGTTGTCTCAATTCAATCCTAGTGGTAGAATGTACCAGTGAATCCCCTTGTTTAAACATTGTATACTTGGGGATTTTACTGGAAATGGTTTCACTCCGTCAACGCCCTTCGTGATTTTATGTAATGGTGGCCTGCAGGAATCTGTGATGGTAAATGAACCTGTTACCTGCTCTGACAGTAGAAAATATTGGGTCTCATTGTAAGAACAGCCTGTTATTTTGACATCTCCACGAAGAACTAAAATCCTACTCATTCTCATCATCGTGTAACCTCTGACTCACTATACAGGTGGCGAGGCCCACGTGAGTCCCTCAGGCATCTGTTTCCATGTTGTCCAGGCCTTTTTTACTTTTCTCCCCTCTTCCAACAAATATGTTGTAGCACCTAGTTTGTGTCAGATGGTATTCTAGGCACACTTGGGACTTAACAGTGTACAGGACCATAATTTGGACAAGGAGCCAGGCAATTGAAATGAAATAAATTGAAAAGAAAATGAAACTGAATACCAGTGAAAATAAAATGAAAATAAATTGAAATGAAATGAAAGTAAAAATTAAGGGCACCTGGGTGGCTCAGTGGGTTAAGCCTCTGCCTTCGGCTCAGGTCATGATCCCAGGGTCCTGGGATCAAGCCCTGAAACGGGCTCTCTGCTCAGCAGGGAGCCTGCTTCCCCCTTCCCCTGCCTACTTGTGATCGCTCTGTCTCTCTGTCAAATAAATAAATAATTAAAAAATCTTAAAAAAAAAAAGAAAATAAAAATTAAGATGAATGATTAGAGAAGAAGGTAGAAAGGTAGCCAAGAGGCTGCGCATACAGGAGTTTGTAGTAGAGCCATTGAAATGGTCGTGTGATTTTCTTCAGTAGCCTTGCTTGAGTTGGATTGATCCAGAATTGAGGTCAGAGAGTTAGCAGGAGCAGACTGTGCAGGGCCTTATAAATCAAACTGAGGGGTTTGGATTTTTTTTCCTGGACAGTGGAAATCCATTATAGAACATGAAGGAAGAGAATGAGCAATCCAATTTGCATTTTAGAAAAATAATATATCAGGCTATACTGTGGAGAAGGGGTTTAAAGCAGTGGTTCTCAATAAGAAGTTATTTTCCCCACCAGGGGATATTTGGCAATGACTGGAGATGATTAGTTGTCATGTGGTTGGATGGGGAATTAAGACTGGTGTCAGTTGGTTAGTTAGCCCAAAGTGGCACTAGTGTGGAGGTTGAGAAATGTTGATTTGAAGGAGTCACAAGTAGAACCAGGGAGACCAATTTAGGAAATTATTTCAGTAATTAAACCAAGACACATTGTGTGGCCTGAACCAAAGTGGCATCTGCTGTGTTGGAGTGAAGAGGATGGATTTGAGATACTAAGGGTGTAGAATGATGATTGAATATGTTCAGTGGTGTGAGTAAAGAGACAGGAAGGATAACTCCAGAGTTTCTGACTCACTTTGGTTGACTAAAGGAATATGGGCAGGAACAGATTTTGGTCTTTGTCTTTAGGGAGGAATGGGCAGAAGTAGTAGTTGATATATGTGTGATGACTCAGTAGAGTCGTGTAGACTAGAAATAAAGGTTTTGGAATTACTAGAAAATGTGAGGTAGTAGAAGCCATAGAATTGATAAGATGACTAGGGAGTGTATGTAGATTAAGAAAAGAAGAGGACCAGGGGGTGGACAGAGGAAAACTCAAGGTAGAAACTGAGAAGTAACAACCACAGAAGGCAGAAGAAAACCAATAGAAGGTAGAATTAGAAATCAAAGGAAGAAAGTGATTTAAGCAAGTAGGTGTCATCCTCAGGATCACATACAAAAGAGATGCCAAGTAAGATGATACTGAATTTGTCCTTCAGATCTTGCGACATGGTCATTGGTACCCTGGATGAGAGCCATGTTGGTGGAGGCTATGTTAATATTCAGTAATGTAGGCAGCTCTTCTGAGAAGCTTGGCAGTAAAGAAGAAGAGGAATGCGAGAAGTTGGATACTGTGGATTTGGGAAGGGGTCTTCATTTTGTTCTATTATGATTTTTTAAGTTAAAGATGGGAGGGATCTGAACACATGCAAATTATAGTAGGAAAAAACCCAGAGAGGGAGAGTTTAAAGGACAAGAGAAAGGGAGAGGTAATTGATGTATTAAGTCTCCTAAAGAGGTGTGATAGGGTGGAATTCAGACAATATACTAGAATATACAGAAGGAGCTAGACGAGGGTGGCCCAGTCATGTTTATAGATAAGTAGAGGTAGGGGATGAGGAGAGGGGTTACCTTATGGGGTTCCTTCCTGAAACTTTCAGTGTCTTTGGTGAAATAAGTGAGGTAGCCTACAGCGAATGAAGGGTTAGGGAGGTGTAGATAAGAGAGAGATGGGGGAAAGAGGAGATTTGGAATGGCCAGTGTGGAAAATGAGGGAGAAAGAACTAACCTGGGAACCATAGGATTTCCATCAGTGTTGATAGCTTAGCTGGTGTTGGAATATGTGGATTTGGAGTGTAAACCCAGTATGTTCTATGATTTATTTCAGCAGTCCATATTTAAGAGCAGAGAGGGAAAGCAGTTGGATTGATCCAGGGTTGGGAAGGATGGGGCAGCAAGGAATTAAGAGCAGTGAAAGCTGCAATCTCATGAAGAATGTGGATTCAGATGAGAGGTTCTCAGCCCTGGCCACCTAGCAGAATCACCTGCAGAGCTCTTTAACACATGGTGATGTCTGTTGCCCATCCTTGGTGTACTGAATCAGAACCTCTGTGTTCTGACACCTTTGTCTTTAACAAGTTCTGCAAGTGATTCTAATGCTCAGCCAGCATGGAGAACCACTGGTCTAAACCTAGGCAAATGTACCTCGGTCTGGAGCTCAAAGTTATTCCTGTTGCAATTTAGGGCACATGGCAACTTAGTCCTTTTGGCTAGTCCCTGAGAGGGTGGGTAATTTTAAGATATCGTTGAGAAGTGGGTGCTGCCATATTTTCCAGAAGTTCAGAAATGGCTGTCGGGTTGGACCAAGGTGGGCAGAGTCATAAAGAACTTGGTGTGGTTTGAATCCTGTGATATTCCGCAAAGGTTTAGCTACAGCCCAAGAGGTCCCGGAGCTCAAAGTTAGCCTTTCCAGAACCCCAAGATCACAGTATGTCACGAATCTCCACATTTCATAGGTGCCTTAGTAGTTGGTACTAGAATTAACTATGCTGTGGGGATGCAAAGCTTTGCCTACCCTAGCCCACTCTGCCTTCTACCCGGATATATGCCACGTCCAATCCAGTGACTGAGCAGATTTTCAGGGCTCACACTATGAGAGAATCGGGTGAATTTTCAAACCAGAAATTATTCTAATCTGTGCCTGAGAAGTATAATGGTGAATATCCTGATTTTAGAGTGGTTTCTAGTCATTACAGTTGGCGAAGCTTGACCTTAGGAAGATGTATACTAAAATATTTACTTAGAAAAAAAACAGTATAGATTCACCAATGCCCAGCTAAATAAGAGAATTACCATAGTGGTAGATGACCAAGGCCCTAGACAGTATAACTGGGTTTTTTCTACAAAGTGGTTGACAAACATTCTTTTACTGGACGCAAGATAGAGAAATGTATGCTGGGTGATAGTTCAAAGAGAAAAATTAATACCCAGTTAAAAGTCTTGGGCTGAGAGTAACTTGAGTGGCATGTTTGCTTTCTTCTTGCGCCCTTCAATATTTTTATCAGTAATTTGGATGAAAATCTAGAGGGCTTGCTTATCACACTTGTGAAAGATTTAACATGAGACGGGGTAGCCTATTTGTTGTGTGAATGAGTCACGAGTCAGAAAGACCTTGGAAGAATTGAAACAGTCAAAAAGATTTGATTATCTTTTTTTTTTTTCTTACGATATTTTCCTTGCTTGGAACAGCAACCTGTGTGCATCATTAAAAAAAAAAAAAATGTGGTATCTACAGATCTAAAAAAGAAAGTCAGCAAATTTGTTTTCAGTGAAAACATGCTGGGTTTTTCTGAAGGACATATTTGTTTACCGCACATTCTTCTAACCTCATGCTTAATGGTCCGAAAGGCTGTCACCAGTAGACCAAACCACATATGTTTAAGTTTTGATACATGTTGCCAAATGACTCTTGAGAAAGACAATTTCCACTTCTCTCATTTAAATGCAACTGTCATTCCCCCACAAAGTCACTAAGTTGCATGTTGTTTATAAATTACGTATCTTTAAAAAATTGCTTTTCAAGATAAAGTTTAATTGAAATCAATCTACTACATTAGGCCTACAAATCAGCTTTACCAATATAGCTAGCCAAAAAGAGGTCTGGTTTGAGAATTGGAGGTTTGGAGTAACTACAAAGTGATGCCACTGTTAAGCCAGGAGAGCTGGTGCCGGCTGATGATATCTGGACTCTGCTTCTATTTCTTACTGACATTTGTAAATTAGAAGATACCCAGCAGGTTCTTGTCAACTAAAGGCTGTCCAGGAAAGAAAAGGGCCTGGAAGCTATGCTATATGAGGCTGTTTTCAGTTTGTTCGTTTTTTACTGTTACAGTCAGTCCTGCATTGAATATCTTTTTACGTGTAAGGAGAGATTTGTCCATTGGGAGGTGGGTTGAAGTGGATGGCTTCATGTTCCTCCCAGCTCTAAGATACAAAATTCACTTCAATCTAACCAATGTTTTCTAGTCTCTGGAGATAAAAAGATTAGGGCATGGTCCCTGCTGAAGGAGTTCAGTATTTAAAGTGGAATGGGGAGAAATCAGAGAGGAGATAAATCACGAGACTCTTGACTCCGGGAAACAAACTGAGGGTTGCGGAAAGGGAGGTAGGTGGCGGTATGGGTTAACTGGGTAATGGGTATTGAAGAGGGCGCATGATAGGGTGAGCACTGGGTGTTATACTCAACTAAGGAATCATTGAACATTATATCAAAAACTAATGATGTACTGTACTTTGGCTAATTGAATTTAAAAAAAGAAAAGAAATAAATAAAGACTGTGAACTTTATATTATTTAATTGTTTGTAGTGTCATTTTTAGGCATCTGTAAAGCTTGGCTGGTTTAGGCAATCAGTTAAACCTTCACTATGATGGGGCATCATCTGGGATATCTATATTTTTTAGTATAATTTTCAGTCTTAGGTATCAGTTTTAACTAATAATTTTTGGTAAGATGATATGTATTCAAGAACATTCAAGATTATTTCTCTTCCAGAGCTGCTTTGTCCACTTATGATTTACGTTAAGGAAGTATTTTCTGTTTCACCCTTTGTGTTGAACTTGGCTCTTCTGAAAACTTGTTAATTGTCACTTATGGTCTGTTTCTCTGTGTGTTTTGTGCTGTGTGTATTGTGTTTTTAGGAAAAAGGCTCAGCTCAAGAAAAAAAGAGGCGTGCCTCAGATTAATGAACAAATGCTCTTTCATGGTACCAGCAGTGAATTTGTGGAAGCAATTTGCATTCATAACTTCGATTGGAGAATAAATGGTATCCATGGTGCTCTCTTTGGGAAAGGTAATTATCAGAATTCCAGGTCTCATTGGAATCCTCCGAGAGATTCTTCTCTCTTTAGAGATTGTTTTATAAGTCAGGAGTTTGATAGTCATTAAGTCAAAAGTTACTTTACTAGGTTCCTCGTACACCCTCAGAATTTCTGAGCCACAGAAAAGCTACTTCTTTGCACGTACAGGGTAGAAGTAAGACTTTGACACCTCTTTCAGATTAAATAGTTCCCCCAGTCCCAGTCATTCAGGTGGGACAATCATGTCCCAATTAGCTGGTTTTTGCGTTACATTTAATTTCCATGTATAAATCCTTTCCATGGGTAAGTCTCTGTAATAAACTGTTTTATATTAAATATACAGAGAACTATAAAATGCATTCATTGCATTGTGGACAGGTCTACGTACTAGTACTTTTTGTTTTGATTTTTCAAAAATGGTAAGTAGCCATATTAATGAGCAATGAGGAATAATGGGGGAATTCCTCACCCCTTTCTAATGTTGTGAAAGTCCAAGCTCTCCATTTTATGCCCATGACTCAAGGAAATTATGGTGAGAGATGAGGAGAAAAGATAGGGATGGGCATTTATTTTTTTGGTCCTTACTGTGTACCTTATGTCCCACAAGAGAGCTGGCTGCTACTTAGGATGGAGACATGCTACATTTTCCTAAAGTAGATTAAATTTTTTAAAATAATTACCGAAAAGGCCATTCTATTGATTTAACTGTACAGGGATGGGAAAAGTGTGCTGTTAATCCTGTCAGTACGGCGTAATCTGAGACTTGGCGATTCATTTCCCAAATTTTTTAGAGTAAATATTGCCTTCATGATGTCAGTCTCCTATGCCTACCCTTTTGGAAGAGTTGATGCTTTATTGAGTTTTCAGATTTTGGTGACAAACCTGTGTGAAGTTGTTCTTCTGAAGTGCTCAGATAGGAACAGCACTACACTCTTCAGAGGCCCTTTTCGTGGTTATTGGGTTCTATTATCTCCAGAAATATTCTTGACTTGTCACCCTGTAACATAATATGGTTTCTTGGGTTTTGAAGTAATCTCTGCAGACCGGTCATTCTCACTGTGCTCAGCAGGGTGCCAGTGGATGCTGGATGAGGGCCGTGGGCTGAGGAAGGCAGTGGAGGCAAATAGAAATGAATGGGAGACCCAAGCAGCTCAAACTCAGGTCTCACCACACGCTTACTCACAGGAACAGTTTGTCTGTGTCTTACATACTGGATTTCTTTGTAAGCTTTCTTTCCAAAACAGAAGTCTGGTCACTTCATTTTGGTGGGAGTAGGGGAGGGTGTTGATGGCATGGAATGGTACAAAAATTTATAAAAAATTTATCCATGGATTTCTGTTCTCTCTCAGAGATCTATAGATGAGGAAATTCCACATCTGTTTTCCTTAGATGATTCCATGTGTCTATTCCCCTAACAATTAGAGTGTTTTTGCTTGTGTTTCATACATTCTTCAGAGTAATCCTGGCTTTTTTTTTTTCTTGGTCCTTTTTGTTTAAGGAACCTATTTTGCTAGAGATGCTATTTACTCCAGTCGCTTCTGCAAAGACGACATAAAACACGGAAACACATTCCAAATTCATGGCGTAAGCTTGCAACAGCGGCATCTGTTTAGAACGTATAAATCTATGTTTCTCGCTCGAGTGCTAATTGGAGATTACATAAACGGAGACTCCAAATACATGCGACCTCCTTCCAAAGACGGGAGCTATGTGAATTTATATGACAGCTGTGTGGATGATACCTGGGACCCAAAGATCTTTGTGGTGTTTGATGCCAACCAGATCTATCCTGAGTACTTAATAGACTTTTATTGATTTCACTTCCAAATCTCAGTGGTCAAGGAAGTTCTGTGCTTTTTTTGCAGGAAGATTTGCTCTCCTGTCATCTAGCCACTAAATGTTCACTATCTGATACTTTTGAAACAGATATGAAAAAAAAAAGTGGCCTCCATATAAAAAGACATACTGACTTTAAGGTTGGTTTTTTGTTGTTTTGTTTTTGTCCGTTGCTCGCAGTCTTGTTTGTTAAAGATTGATACAATACCGTTGCCATTTGAACACAGAGGCGAAAGGTAGCACTCAAAACTGAATCAGCTGAGTCTCAATTACCGTGATCATTCAGAGTCTGTAAAGTTTACATGTGTGTTATATTTATTCATATATATGTCCAAAAAATAAAAAAAACAGACATAACTGTGTCGTCCCTTCAGAGGAATTGATCCTTTGTAAATTGAATCCTGACATTATTATCCACCAATCAATACATTGCCTTGTTGGTCTTCCAAAGCAGGGATTTAAAATCTCAAAGCAGGCTGAGTACCGTGGGAAAAATCAGAAATACAAATGTTATTTACCAAGCTGCCAGACCAACCAAAAGGAGAAAGTCAAGGTAGAGTGTCCAGCTTCTGATCACCCAGGGGCACAGAGTGCAGTCTGAGACTGCTCCTGTCATTCTCTTATCTCCTACGTCAGAACTGACAAGTGCTGCAGACTGTAATTAGTCCACAGTTCACCCACCAGGGCTCTTGAATTCTCATACCATGACTTGCTCCACACAGTGTTTACTGCCTCTTCAACATGAAACGCTTACTGCTTTACCAAAACATGTATTTTTCCCTTTGCTTTGGGGTCCCTACAATAATTACTTGTAAGATTCCTTATCTGCTCCCCACCACACACAGCTGTGCAACAGCAATTCCTAATACTCACATTTTTAAGTTGGATCTCCCCATTCTAAATCATTGCAGAAGGCAGGGGGTTCTGGGATCAAATCTGGTTTAGCCTTTTGAGTAGTAAATTGACAATCTGCTAACACTTAAAAAGTTAGATGCAGTTCATAATCATGTGTAATGGAAGTTCATCTACCTGTTCCATCTGTTTTGCTGTTATTCTATTCCAAAGAAGAATAAGTAATGTTGGGACAGCTTTCTGCCCCTAGAGGCGTTCTGGCAGAGGCTAGACAATGACTGGGCAGAAATGTCATACAAGAGTTCAGGTGTCAGTTGGAGGAATTGGCCATATGATGGTTGAGTGTTTCCCCACCTTGATTTTCCATGATTCTACCTGAGGAAAAAAAAAAAAAAAAGAAAAGAAAAACACACCTGTATCAAGCCTTGCCAGAAAACCTTTTCCTAACTTAGTCTAATACGGAACTCTCTTTCCATTATCCTCATTCAGTTTTGAGTGAGAAGTTGTGAACACAGGTTAACTTTTCAGGGAAAAGCCAGTCAATGTTCCATGCCTGTGTTGTTCATTTTAGTCATTTGCATTGAGAGAACATCTAGAAATCATAAAAAAGGAAGCGTATAGACCAATATTAGGCATGGTAATTCTTCAACTGCCATATATCCCCAGATTTTTGTTGTAGCTCAGATTAGATGAAACTGTACAGTTGAAAGTAAGTAGTACACAGGAAACTGTTACGTACAATACTTTGAAACCAAGCAGCAACAAAGATTTCCTGACTTAGATGTGCACATTAAGAGCCAGTTTACATGAAAGGCTGTGAATATTTATGAGGAGCCCATTTTAGAAACATGCAGAGATGATCATGGAAATAATTGGAATAAAAGTCACCAGACTACCTTGTGAGAGATAGCAAACTATTGCTCTAGATTCATTCACAAAAGAACAATGTTAGAGACATTAGGAATTCAGATTTTGAAAATCTTTTTATTCTATTTATTTGTTACTTACACACCAAAAAAAAAGAAAAAAAGAAAAAAAGTTACAGTAATCCCTTCAATATGGCTGTCCTTTTTTTCAACTTAACACCATTTCACTTCCCGTCACTGGAACGGAGTATCTGTTGTAGCATTTGGGAGTTATTCTTGTAGATGTGCAGATCTTATCTCAAGGTGTGACTAAAAGCCCAGAGTTGAGGTTTGCAAGACAGTCTGTATGAACTCTGAACTTAACTAGTTGGCTCAGATGTAGTAAATAGAATGGATTGCAATAGACATTGTAAGAAAGAATTCTGGTTTTCTTGTCTGACAATGTACTGCCAATTCTTTTATAATGAAGAACTAATTTTGATAAAATTTTCAGTGTGATAGTGTGGCATTAATTGATATTAAAATTCTGTTCATTTTGATCAATAGATTGAGTTGGGAACTCCTAATTAGTATATAATAGACTGGACACAACCATCTGTCCCCTTTTCCTCTTGCCCTAATATACATAGTATGCATGGCAAGAGTAAAGAGAACCTATTCCAGACTAATGAATAAATGATTTTTAAAATTATACATTGAACAAATTGCAGCTGATAGTGATTTTTCTCTTCCACATTGATGTCAGCCTCAGGGTAAAAAAAAAAATGTGTTTATAAGAAACAGTTTCATAAATCTTGTGGTTATGAACAGGAAGGTTTTTATATTAGTGCAACTTTCATTTCTAGACTGTTATGGTGATGCTAAAGCGTTTGGAGCCATTTTTGATATGTGAATATATTGTTTTTACATGTGATTAAAGCTTTCCGTAGCAGGGCTTGGTTGTCTGTGTATGCCATATATTTGTTTCTGTGATTTCTGCGTCTCATCTCCACCTTGCATTACTTAAGCCTACATTTGCAGCTCGAACTTAACGGGCCCTTGAGAAGTCTGTTCCCTCTAACTCTTATATAACCCACTTACAGGTGGGGGGGCAGTCTCTTGTTCTTGGTGTAAGTCATTGTAAGCAACAGCTAATCAAATGATCATTGAGAAAATAATTTACTCTGCTGTTGAAAATTCCAAAACAGTTCAAGGCCAAGAGCCTACAGACAGTGTCCTTTACTCTCGGTGTGCTCCCCCAGCTCAGAGGAGCAATTCTGGGGGGTGCGTCTACATGCATCCGAGGAGCATGCTTCCTGCAGTTCATCCAGCTTCCAGCCACTCCTGCTATGTCCACAGTAAGTTTTGAAGCAAGTTAGACATTTCATTCAATCTTTCATCTTTTGTTGGCAAAAAAAAAAAAGGGGGGGATCTATCCAAAGATGTCTTAATTTTACAGGTGAGAGACATGAGAGACGGAAGGATCAAAGCTTACCTGTGGAGGAGAGACAAGATGGCAGAAGAGTAGAGGACTCGTTTCATCCGGTCCCTGAAATTTTAGCTACATATCTATCAAATCATTCTGAACACCTCTGAATTCAACCTGAGATGTAAGAAAAAGAACTGCTGGAATTCTACAAATAGAAAAGTGACCACTTTTGCAAGGTAGGAGGTGCAAAAAAGTGAATCTGAGCGGATATATTGGAAGATAAATGGTGGTGGGTGGGGGGAGTCTCTGTAAGCCAGCTACCGGAAAGTGATAGAGCCCCAGAGTCCTAAACCCGAAACTTTAGAAATCTGCTCCAGTGAAAGATGTCCCTGCCTGAAAGGTGCTCAGGTGGTGAAACGGGGCAGAATGCTAGGCAGGAGAGTGTGGTCTCAGGATCCCGGGGTCACAGAAAGAACGAGGGTGCCCGAGCCAGCAGAGTTCCCAAGCATTGAGAGAGGGGAAACCAGCTATGGTCAATGAGCCCAAGAGGGGTTCTCAGTTTGCTGTAAACCCAGAACCACGGCCTGATGGGGCAGCCACTCTCCCTGTGGGGGCCCTGCAAAGGTCAGAACCATGGCAACCCTCCTCCTTCCCCCAGGAGGATTGGCATGAGTGTGAACTGCAGTAGTCTGCAGAGTTTGTTGCACACAAAAGTGAAGACTGATTTTCCCTGAGGGTTTACTGAAGAGAAGGGGCCATGATCTTTCACCTTCAGGACTGGAGAGTGGGGCACTGCCATTTTTATTTTCATCCTCTAAAGGCCTGAAAGCCTTTAGGGAACAAAAGCCACATAGAGCAACCCCAAACAGCCTACACAGAGCCTGGCCCCCTGGCAAGGGGCATTGCAGCTCCACCCAGGTGAAGATACCTGAGAATCAGCACAGCAGCCCCTCCCCCAGAAGACCAGCCAGAACATCAGGCAAATACCAAGTTTACAGAGCACACAGAATTGCAAAACTCCAGCACCAGGGGAAAATAATATATCAAATTCAAAGATTTTTTTCCTCATGATTCTTTTATTTTTCAGTTTAAATTTTTCCTTTTTGTTCTTTTCAACCCGTTTCTTATTTCATCAACTCTTTGTTCTTAAGTCCTTTATTAACTTTTATTGTTATATTTACATTTTATAGATATATTCAATTTCTGGCTTCCTTTCACTGTATTCAGAGTGTGTGTGTCTATATATATAGAGAGAGAGACACACACACATACATATTACTTTCTTTAAAATTTGGGATTTGGTGTCTTTTAAAAGACCAAAGTACACCCAGGACCAAGTGGATCACCCTATTTTGTCCACCTGGGAGATTATTCCCCCCTCCTCCATTTATTTGCTTTTGTTTTTTGGTTTCTGACCTCTTCAGATTTCTCTAGTGGGTATTTTGCTTGGGTCATGGTTGATATTTTTTATTTTCTTTTCATTCATCCATTCTTCTATTGAGCAAAATGACTAGAAGGAGGAATTCACAACGAAAGAGAACCAGAGGTAATACACTCCATCACAGATATAATCAATATGGATATAAGTAAAATGTCAGAGCTGGAATTCAGGATAATGATTATAAAGTTATTAGCTGGACTTGAAAAAAGCATAACAGACGTTAGAAAATCTCTTAGTGCAGAAAAAATCTAATTAGGCTGAAATTAAAAATGCTTTAACTGAGATGCAGTCTTAAATGGATGTTCTAACAGCTAGAATAAATGAAGCAGAAGGGAGAGTCAGTGACATAAAGGCCAAGATGACGGAAAGGAAGGAAGCTGAGGAAAAGAGGGCAAAACAACTAATGGACCATGAGGGGAGGAATAAAGAAGTCAACAATACCATAAAGTGAAACAATATTAGAATTATTGGGGTCCTAGAGGAAGAAGAGAGAGAGGGATGGAAGATATATTTGAGCAAATTTTAGCTGAGAACTTCCCTAATCTGAGGAAGGAAACAGGCATTCAAGTCCAACAGGTAGAACACCCCCCCCAAGTCAATAAAAATAAATCAACACCCTGACATAATAGTGAAGCTTCCAAATTTCAGAGATAAAAGAGAAAATTCTGGAAGCAGCTCAAGATAAGAGGTCCTTAACTTGCAATGGTAAAAACATTAGACTGGCAGAAGACCTATCCACAGAAACCTGGTAGGCCAGAAAGGGCTGGGATGATATATTTAGGGTACTAAATGAGAAAAACATGCAGCCAAGAATACTTCATCCAGCAAGGGTGTTTTTCAGAATGGAAAGAGAGATAAAGAGCTCCCAGGACAAATAGAAACTAAGAGAATTTGTGATCACTAAACCAGCCCTTCAAGAAATATTAAAGGGCATCTTGTAAGCAAAGAGAGAGCCCAAAAGTAACATAGACCAGAAAGAAACAATCTATAGAAACGAGGACTTTACAGGTAATACAATGGTACTAAAATCCTATCTTTCAGTAGTTACTCTGAATGTAAATGGGCTAAATGCGCCTATCAAAAGATACAGGGGTATCTTTTGATTAAAAAAAAAAAAAAAGCAAATCCCATCTATATGCTGTCTACTACAAGAGATTCATTTTAGACTTAAAGACACGTCCAGATTGAAAGTGAGGGTGTGGAGAACTATTTTTCATGCTAATGGACATCAAAATCAACCTGAGGTAACAATCCTGATATCAAACAAATTAGATTTTAAACCAAAGACTGTAGAAAGGAATGAAGAGGGACACTATATCGTACTTAAAGGGTCTATCCAGCAAATCTAACAATTATAAATATTAATGCTCCTAACTTGGGAGCAGCCAGTTATGCAAACCAATTAATAACAAAATTAAAGAAATAGATTGATAATACAATAATAATAGGGGACTTTCACACCCCACTCACAGCAATGGACAGATCTAAGCAGAAGATCTACAAAGAAACAAGGACTTTGAATGACACACTGGACCAGATGGACTTCACAGATAAATACAGAGCATTCCATCCTAAACCAACAGAATACACATTCTTCTTGAGTGCACATGGAACATTCTCCAGAATAGATCACATACTGGGTCACAAATCAGGTCTCAACTGGTATCAAAAGATTGGGATT